TTCGGTTTAAAGAACGCAGGAGCGACCTACCAGAGAATGGTGAACAAAATGTTCGCCAAGCAGATCGGCCGGAATATGGAAGTGTATGTGGACGACATGCTCGTCAAGAGCAAGCGGTCTAAGTCGCATCTTTCTGATCTGACCGAAGCCTTCGAGGTTCTAAGGACATATCAAATGAAGCTCAACCCAGCTAAATGTGCCTTTGGAGTCTCTTCGAGAAAATTCCTTGGCTTCTGGTGAACCACCGGGGGATCGAGGCCAACCCCGAAAAGATTAAAGCCCTGCTCGAGATGGAGGCACCCAAAACGCTGAAACAACTTCAGTGCCTCAATGGCAGGATTGCAGCCCTGAACCGGTTTGTTTCAAGATCGACAGATAAGTGCCTCCCTTTCTTCAAAGTCCTACGAAAGAAAGAGCCATTTGAATGGACAGCAGAGTGCGAACAAGCATTTCAGCAATTGAAGAGCTACCTCTGTTCGGCACCTTTGCTCGCCAAGCCCCTCAAGCAGGCTCTTAGGCAATGCATTGAATACTAGACAGTGATCCGAGTTCAAGCAGGCACTTAAAAGGCTAAAATCCTAAGTCTATAACTGTTCTTCATATCGCATCTCGTACCCTCAGGTTCAAAGGCTTGATCATTCTGAACTTTTCACATCGCCCCCTTGCCTTGAAGGTTTGAATTTTAACCTTAGGATTTTAGCCTTTTTAACAAGCAACCTCTTAAGTTAAAGGTGTGATGTTAAAAAGTCCAGAGTTGGTGCAATGCATTGAATACTAGACAGTGATCCGAGTTCAAAATTTCAAGTATTTTAGTTAATGGCGCGACCTCAAAGGTACGAGGCGCGAGGTGACATTGGCTTCAACTTGAAGAAAAAAACGAAGAAAGAAGGCAACAAAGTAAAAACAAATGAGAAGCCTCTTTATTGAATGAAAAGCAGAGCCAAGGCTTATAGACCTTGCAGCTCTGCCCTAACACTTACAAAAGAAGAGAAGAAAGACAGAGAAAGGCCTCATGAAAGGTGATCGTCTAAGAGCCTGCTTGAGGAGCGCCCTCCTGAGTGGTGCCGACCTGATCCTCTTCGAGGTCGGAGTAGTCAGAGTCCAGATCTCTGACATACTTATCCACCAACGCTTAAGGGCCAGAGGTGCCGCTAGGCCCAGATGCCTACTGCTCAGCATACCTCTTCTCCAGACCACCGAGATCGATCTGAAGGTCAGGCATGTCGGAAGCAATGCCCTTCATGAGAAACTTGAAGCCCGCGTCAGAGAAGTCTTTGGCAAATCCATCGAAGTCAGGATGTTGCCTGAACGATTCCTCCAATAGGGCTTCATTGCTGAGACGCTCCTTCACCATCTCCAGCTCAGCAGTCGCGTGCTTCAGCTCCTCCTCCTTCGTTCGCTTCAAGCGCCTGGAGCATGTCGTCCTTCTCCTTGAGGAGGTGGAACTTCTCCTTCTCCAAGCCCTTGGTGATAGCATGGGCAGCTCAGAGCTGGGCCTTGCGTCTGTCCTCTTCTTTCTCCAGCAGCTCGGCCTTGGCCTCCACCTCAGCCTTCAAAATTTCCACCTCAGAGTGAGCTTTCAGCAGCTCATCCTTCATGGTGGAAGAGGCAGCCTCCAAGGCAGCAGAGAACTCCTCCTTCTCCCTTGCTGCCAGAGCTTCCCTCCCATCCAGCTCGGCCTTCACGGCCAGAGCCGATTGAATGGAAGCAACAAACGCCTGAGAAAAGGTACAAAGAAGAAAGTTAGACCGAGCTACCTGTTAGGTAAATTGAGCAAAAATGAAGACACCAATCTTACCTCAGCGGCGTAGTCGATGGTCCTCTGCAGGACGGACCCCGGGTCACTTACAAATTTGGACGCTCTTTCGAGGCAGCGGTCCAAACTTGCAGCCGAGATGCGGGACACCTGGTCCCTCACCCCAGAACTTGACAGCTCGACTCTGAACCGTGCTGTCACGTCGGATGTCCCGCCTATCCTGGCCTCAGGGC